GGGACGACGGATGGGACGGGACTGAGATTTGCTTTCTGATTACACCGTAATAGTGTGTTACACTCAGTTAAATAGCGATAGTCATGTTTGGGCTGCTAAACATTCTTGAGCTCTTTTCAAGCAAACTTTTACCAGAGCCAAAGATTCACAGAGAGGATGTGGCGTGACTGTTCTTTGCTTTAGTTTTATTCCTTGCTCCTGCCTCCTCCCCACCCCCCCCCCACCCTGGGAATCTGTTTTTTCAAATATGTAACTCCTGTGGTTTAAGATTGAAAAAATGTTTGCATGCAACTAAAACATTTACTCTGCTTTTTTTGCTCCATCTGTGAAGAGATTTGCTGGAAAAGCAGAACTTCCAGTCATGCGACTGTCAGAGGGAAAACACATCTGAAGAAATAGGAGAGCTTAGTAGAAGTGGTTTCAAGGTCTAGAGTTGTTAATATAAGCTGTATAATATGTGCTAAAATATACTCCAGTGATACAGATTTGGAAGTGATTTCTGTACAGTTGGACAGCTTTTTCTGTTCTATAGAAAATGCCCAATAAGACAATGACTTCTGTTGCTTTATTTATTGTTCCACTTTTGTTCTGTATTTTTGCCTTAGATAAATGGGTAGGTGAATAAACATCAAGATCCATAGCATATCTTTTCTCTGAACATTAGGAAGACCAATTAACTGTTCCTATCCAATATTTAACACTTGATATCATGTTGTGTATATGCATGATATCTATATCTGTGTGCAAGTAAAGTGGTTTTAGTGAGTTCATCTCTGATATTGTATCTTTATAAAGACATTCTGTGACTGCTGCATTTCCCCATCATCCCTTACATATAGTAAATTCAATTATTATAAGCCAAAATTCGTCTTGTAAGTAGTTAAAGCATTCAAATACAGCCACATTCCTATAAGACCTCAGTGTAAAGTTTGGAGGCTGTATTTCCTTGGAATCAAGCTAAAAAAACCTCTGGGAAGGTAAAAGTCCCTAAAGGAATACAAATCAAGTCAAATACCAAAACACCCGTGAAGAAAAAAATCCCAGATCTGTGTGTGTAATATGTGACATGTCAATAGATGTGACAATAAGTAACAACTCTGTTGACTAAAACAAATAAATAGGACAGGGAAAAATAAAGCTGAACTAGTGGCAAGTGAGTTGTAGTCACCGCTGAAGAGCTCAGTAAAGTTTTTTGCTTGTTTACATCCCTCACCACCATCACGATACTTCTACAAAACGCTGAGGAAAATGAAATGTAGGAAAACTCCAGCAGCAACAATATTAGTGGTTTTCTTTTGTGTGTTTAATATCTCTATATGTATCTATCCATAGATGAAAGAAGTATATTATTATACCATAATCTCTTATGCAATAACAAGTATAATAACATAATATTATGCAATTAAATGTTTTATGTGTTTGTATATAAGCAGAGCACTTGCTTGTACATAAATACAAACCATACATTTTCAGTCCCACATTTTCTGAGATAAGGCATAAGCAGAGAAATTTTGAAATTGGTAATGAAACTGAGACAAAATACTCAATTTGACAGGAGTTAAGAAGACTGAGAAGGTGTTGAGGGACTGTAAGAGAAAAGAGAGTGAGGGTGGAGGAAATTCTTTCCCAGTTCAAGACCAAGAGGCCTTTTAATTTTGAAAAGCAATAGTTCTGAAGTTGATCCAAGGGAAATATATTTAATAGTATATAACCATAACATCTAGAATTTGCTTCTTAGGAGATCCTAAAGTTTAAAAGCTTAGTGGGATTTAAAGTCTTAAGAATTCCTATGAATGCCCTTCTTTCATAAGCCAACTGCTTACTTGAGAATAACAAATAGCCTCTGTAGTCTCTCTGCACTAGATTTAGTTGTAGATTCTTTGAAATAGCTTGTGCTATTCACTGTCAAATATCAGGACTAGGAGTCATTGAAGGGGCAATTTCATTACTCTGAAATCAATGTTGCTGGATTTTGGCTTCTTGCAAAAATTGAAAATATTCAGCAAATTTCTACTTACGCTCTTGGTTGTGCTTATTAGGCAGCTACTCTGTTTTAAGTATCATATTATGTGTAGAAATAATAATTCTGATGCTGTTTTAAATGTTAATGTCTAAGATCTTGTGTTCATGCAGAAAACTGTTTTGTACCAACCTCGGAGATCATTGCTGTAGAAGAAACTGAACTTAGCAAGAAACAGCGTAATATTGGCAAATGGCAAAAAATGGCAAAGCCACATGCTTTCACAGGTAAGGCAGATACAGTCTCAGGGGGCTTATGCTAATTGCTTTGTTGGAAGCTCATTAGGGCAGACTCAAAGGGAATCTTCAGAATTTTTTTAAACAGAAGTGATGAGTTTTAGAAAAACAACCGCCCCAGCCAAAAAAAGCTCCAACCAAAACCAAAACATGCTCCCCTCCCCCGCCGCCCAAAAAAAATCCACCCATTTACATTTAAAGATCTTTATTTTGGAAAACAAAACCCTTCCTTTAAGAACACATACTGTGTTTGGTTATTTAATGATAACTACTCTGCTCTGGTGAGACCTCACTTGGAGTACAGTGTCCAGCTTGGGAGTCCTCAACACAAGAAGGACATTGAAGTGCTGGAGTGGATCCAGAGGAAGTTCCACAAAGATGATCAAAGGGCTGGAGTACCTCTCCTATGGAGATAGGCTGAGAGAGTTGGAGTTCTTCAGCCTGGAGAAGAGAAGGCTGTGGGGGGACCTTATAGCGACCTTCCAGTACCTGAAGGGTGCCTATAAGAAAGCTGGCATGGGTATGTACAAATAGGATGAGGGGTAATGGTTTTAAACTAGAAAAGGGTAGATTTAGGTAGAATAGTAGGAAAAAGCTTTTCAATATGAGGGTGGTAGATCACTGGAACAGATTGCCCAGAGAGGTGGTGGAGGCCCAACCCCTGGAGATATTCAAGGTCAGGCTTGATGGGGCTCTGAGCAACCTGATCTGGTAACATTGTCCCTGCTTCCTGCAAGGGGGTTGGGCTGGATGATCTTCAGAGGTCCCTTCCAACCCAATACAGACTATGATTCTGTGATTCTAACTAACGTCTTGCATGTCTGCTGCTGAATGACTCTGCAGCAGGACACTTGCTTTCTACTACTTGATTAAAAAAATCCAGAGAAAGCCTGGAAAAATGAGTTCTAAATATTTGGATTTTTAAAAAATTATCCCTAACCATCAGAATGTGTGCATGTGAAGGTTCTTTGTATTATTGACTGCATTCTTAAAACAAAGTTCCAGGAAAAAAAAATTCTGATTGGTTTGGGGAAAGAGAGGTGACTTCTGTGCTGCAAAGCTGGGCAAATGTGGTTGCCCCCATGCCGAAGTTTTACATTGTGGAGTACTTTCCTCACATTTAGTCTTTCAGTTATAGTGACTGATGGTACTGTAAATTGAAAGGTCTGATGCTTCTTGTCTCACCAGCCTAGTTCTTAATGCACAAAAAATATATACATCTTTTTTTCTCTGACTTTAACTTTATGAAATTAATTTCATCCTGTTGGTTACATGGGAGGTGAAGTGAGGGTTTGGCTTATCTTCTTAAGCTTATGGCATTTCAGATTATGCAGACACTGCAGGTTTCAATAAGGATAAAATTATATGTAAGCTAAGTGAACTTTTGTACAGGTATGTCTATAATCAGATTACGGAAAATGGATGATATGTGGTTTAAAGTTTTATGTTTGGGTATCTGCTGTAAGGTAATGACCTACACCAATTGATTTCATTTGTGTTTTCATTTTGACTTTTTACAAATGTCCTGTTCGCACTCTGAATGCTTCTGTCATTTGCAGAAATGTGTAAATGTCATGGGGGTTAATTACCACTTACTGCCAAAGGTAGATATTTTTGAGATCTCTCTGCAGTGCATTTGCCATTTCTCTGAACTGTCTCATTGTGCCCTTTTTTTTTCCCATTTAAATAGTGTATTATGTGAAGAAAGCGCGAAATCACCGCTGGCGGTGCAGCGATGTGACATTCTGGTGTGTTGATGAGCACTTGTGCAATCAGTGGATACAGGCGCTGAAAGAATTACTTGAAATGGACAGTAAGTTTGACTAAACTACTAACATTTGCAGCATCGCTTTACAGGCTTGTGTGTCAGTATTATTTTGATATACTTGCTTTTTTGAACTCTTAAGAGCAGCTTGTGCGTAAAAGTTGAGGGAGCTGAGAATTGCCATTTCCTGTTCTACTTAGCTTCTTTGCTTCTTGTATATTCACTAAGTTTTACTGGGTGTTTTACTCTGATCAGTCAGGACTGTAGGTGCTTAGAATTTTTCCCGGATGTAAATTATTTTCACAAAATAGGGACATGTTAGAAACTTAGCAAAGGCTTTAAATGACTGTAACTTTGGAGAAAGTAAGGGGCAGATGTAAGCTCAGAGATTTGAGGTTCTCTGAAGATCTGAGGACAATTGTAGCAATTTTAAGATTTATGGGTGGCTTTTTGTGTCTCTGTCTTACCTTTCCAGCCTCTCTCATCAACAATGTGCCTTATGTACTAAGAGTTCCCATTAATCATTTCTGGGACTCTTGGACATCTACTTCTTGGAAGACTAAAAGTAGTTTTGCAGGAGTGATTCCTGAAAGAGATACCTTGATAGATGTCAGGGGTCCATGGGGCCAGAGCAACCTAATGAGTGAAGGGAGGTCGAGGGAGGCCATAGCACAAGCAGTGCCCTCTCCAGCCAGGGTGCAGTCCCACTGAATATGAGCAGGGTGGGCAGAGCAGGGCTGGGGAAAGCAGCAGGACCCCTTTACAGCCCAGTTGAGACAAAGTAGTCGGGTCCATCCAGAGAGGCAGATATGAGCAGCAGGAGATGGGGCTGGAGGCAGGACTGGAAATAAGCTACCTACAGGGTAGTTCTGAGGTCCATCTGAGACACCCAGCTGGAGAAGGGATTGGATAAAAGTATACCTGCACTGTGACTCAAGCAAATGGTTAAGGCTCACAGAATAAAAATGGTTATTCAACAAAAAATGTTCTTCTAAATAGGCATTGGAAGCATGCATCTTACTAACGTTTTTGTTTTGTATACATTACATGAGGTATCTGGCTTCTAATAAAATATTTTTAATCATGAAGTTTGTGCACCCATTCAGTGCAGTTGTGAGAGGTGTGGCCTAGGCAGTCACCTCTGAGTGCAAGTGTTTGTTCTGCTGGGAGCAAACTATTTCAGAGGAGGTAACAGGCTCTTAGAGAGGGTGAATGGTGCTTTGGGTGTGTGACAGCTTTAAGCCATTCAAACAGTCTAGCTTGGTTGGATTTGTTATGCAAATGTGCTCTGTATACTCTTTCCTTTTAAAACAATACTTTAGAATGCCATCTAAGGAAGTGCAAATGCTATAACAGGTCTTTGTTTTGTGCAAAAAGGAGGGTTCTCTAGGTGCAGCAAGTGTTATGGGTTTGTGTATCTGTGAGTACAGAGGTGCAATAATTGTTTTCATTGCCACCACCAATCCATAACTATTTGAACAAACTTGAGATCACTTGATATCAAAGATATTTTCTGGAGGGAAGGGGTTACTGTAAGGCAGACACTTGCTGTTCAAGATATAATTTTGTGAAGTATTTTTATTGTGTCCTTAATACTGAAAGGAAATGCATTTTAACTACCTTACCAAAGCAAGAACATTGTTCAAATAAATTAATGTGAACGTAATTCTGTGTATGCTTCACTCAAGAGTGCCTTTCCTAGTGCTGCCCTTGATTTGTCTTTTGTCTCGTATGCCTGTGTTACTAACGTCATTAGTGGGAAGGTATTGCAAGAATAATACGCATAAAAATGTGAGATGTGAAGTCAGATGAAATAATTCTGAATTTCAGTTGCTGTCTTATTAGCAATTTGTTGGTATCCTCAGTATAATAAAGAGGATAAATGAAGCAGGATTTTATAGCTCTTTGATGAAGAGTTAGTTATAAGAGTTGATAAAGAGTTATAAAGGGCTTGTATGCTCTGTTCACTTTGATGTCTACCGATTTGTTTTTGTATAGCTTGTTGAATTTTTGTTTTGTGTACGAAAGCAGTGTACTATAATATTTTCCCTTACTGCAGAGTCAAGACCAAAGCATTTGCTTGTGTATATTAATCCATATGGAGGAAAACGACAGGGGAAAAGGATTTATGAACAGAAAGTTGCTCCACTCTTCAGTCTGGCTTCTATCTCCACTGATGTTGTTAGTGAGTGATGAATGTTTTAATTTCTTAATAAGCACAATGTGAACCCTTTAAAACATCTCTGAGTAGCTTAAGTTCTCTTTGTTGCTTAACTTTTCTTACTAAGGAAATGAAACTAAGTGGTAGAGAGGAAATGTTTTCTACTTAAAGCATAGGTAGCCAAATAAATGATGACCTTGTATCAATTTTCTGCTTACCAAACTACAACTTCTGGTATTTCTGAGCTATTTGAGCTCTTTGTTTATGAGATATTATCTTTATTCTCTTTTTCAGTTTTACTATTAAAACAAATTGTTCATCTGCACTGTTTTTAGTGTAATATTTTTCTGTATATAGTGCAGTGCATGTCTCTCAGTTCTTTCCTTGACATAAAATTTTTTGAATGCAATTAATGGCCAGGCTGTTTTATGGTCACATTGGTAATAGAATCATAGATATTAATAAATTAATAATAGCATTTTTATAGTTGTATATTATATACCGTTTTATAATAGTAATTTTTAATGTGTTTATTTCTTCATAGTAACTGAACATGCTAACCATGCTAAGGACAATTTATTTGAAGTAAATATTAATAAATATGATGGGTAAGTAACTTCACCTGTTTGGGTTTTTTTGGGGTTTTTTTGTTTTTCTGATATATTCCATAATCTGTCTGTCCTTGTCTCTAATTTAAAATACTAGCCTTCATTCCTGATACATTTATTGCAACAGCTGAAAGTTCTGGGGCATACTTCTTTTTATAGAAGATCTACATTTAGGAGTATCAAAGGAAAACTAAACTGTTTCAGTAAAACTGTTTAACACACAACATACCCAAGTGTAGTATAACAATGTTTGCATGAGGTTTGTGTTCAAAAGATGAATGTAAGATTAATTCTGCTCATCCAAAAGTTGAGTATTCTGTAATAGCTCAAAAGCTACCTTGAAGTGTTCTGTGGTATAGGTGACCTTGACATACATGAGTACAGAACACTGCATCAGTAGCGTTCAGCCTGTGTATAAAAACCATGAACTATTTAGAAACATTTCAGATAGTTCCTCTTGCTGTTCAAATAATGGCAACATCATTTGACTTTGTTTTTACTTGTTCTGTTGTGAAATTACTGTTTTAAAGGAAGACCTGAGTGGTGAAATTGCATTCCATTATTAAATGTGCTGTAAAAGCAGAATATTTTAATAAATAAGCTAGTCATTCCAGTTTCCGGTTCGTGACATGAAACAAGTTTCATGACTGGAAAATCTTGAAAATATATGCAGAACATATGTAGATAAACTCTCATAATGACAATATTTTAAAATATTATCTTGTGCTTGTTGACAGTTAAACTTTCCCAAAACTGTTACAAAAATAAAACACTGTCTTTTCAGAGTACTTTTGCTAGGGGAGTAGATCTATATGTGTTGTCTAAATTGAGTGAGGACAGGATGTTGACAAATTGTGGTAGTAAGAAACTACATTCAGAAGCTGAGTTCCTAGACTTCACCTGCTTTAGAATGAATTGACTTTAAATAAGCAGTTTTAAATATACTGGGATTTTTCTTAATTTTGCAGAAGTGCAAGGATGAGAAACTGAGATCCTAGAAAAACCTTAAATTTAAAATTTTTCCTTTTCATTTTAAGTGATTTGAATTAGATAATACTGGTAGTTGGTGAAATTCCAGTGCGGAGTAGAAAAGGGAAACAAGTCAGCCCATGTCTACTTCAAGCAAATTGATTTTTAAAACAAGTGGCAGTGATCGATTGGAGTGCTACCTGAAGTCTTTTTGGCAGGTTCAAACCGTTTCTTATGGTACATTTTTTTTTTTGTTTGGGTTTTGGACTATTTTGGTTTTCCCTCTCTAACATGACTGAACTAAACAGTTGGCCAGAGAACTGCATCTTTTTTAGAATCTCAGGATTGGGCCTTAATGGCAGTTAGCTTGTGTCTTTCCAAGCCTGATTTTTGTCCCTCACATACAAGTCTGTTCCTGTTGTTAACAGTGATATTAGGAAGGAGTTCTTGCATTAACGCCACTTTTAAAACAACAGATCATGTGGTTATATGGAAGATTTTTTTAAATGGTTGAACTTCATAAAAGCATGTGTTTCTTCAAGTTTGATTGACTATTCTCACATACAGGAAAAGGTTCTTTGAACTCCTACATCTAATTGTTGTTCACCTGTCCTCTTAGGTTGGTTCTGATAAGTGGCTTTTCCTTCATTCAGTGATAAGCTTCTTCATTTAATCTCAGATTCCCTATTTGACAAAGCCATGCCTGTAGTTTTGGAATTAGATACAGGATTCTTTATGATAACCACTTCACTGCTTTCCAAGTATATTTATTTCAGACAGCTTATTTAAACCTCTGTGTATGTTTCCTGTTTGTTCTTCCCATTTCCCCTTATAACGATTTCTTAAGAGAAGAAAATTCTTTCTTTAAAGAGAAGCTTAAAATATTAAAAAATATTAATTCAGTTAAATGAAAATATTCATTGTTACAATGTTCCGATAATGACCATGTTCAGAATAAGTCTGATCTATGAATCAGTATACTACTTTATCCATATGGCTGCTGCACAGTTCTTTGTAAAACTGCTTCAGGTTGGGATTTTCCTAGTTCCTAAATTAGTTCACAGAATGGTTGAGATTAGAAGGGACCATAGTTCTTTCAAAACTCATTTATCTTGTGTACTTTCTTCTTCTGAAGTCCTTTAGCATATGTAGTTTACTGTTACCTGCCTAAAAAGGAAAATACTAGTCCATTAGAAAAATAAACCCAATATGTAGGAATCACTCTGAGATCTCTCGTACAAGAGTTCTTAGCTATGGGCTTTCATATACGTGACTCACATATCGGTCATCTGATGTTTGCAGTCAATTTGGTCATACTGATATTGTGTATGTGAACTTTTTTATCTGTCAATATTTACCCTTACGTTCATATCGCTGTCATCTCTGAGCCTAGGTGTAGTATTTGTTAAAAACAGACCACTACTGCGACAACATCGACCTTGAGCTAATGGGGAAATTTTTGTCCACTTTCTTAGAGTCTACAGAGAAAGATGAGACAGGCTAAAGTTGAAGAATAATGTAGTTAAGCTATGAGAAGAGAAATTAATTATAAAATGAAAATCAGACATCCTTTTCTCCCTTCTCTCCCAGTTTCTTAGGTCTTGACTTAAAGTTAGTGTATATTTTTAAGACTGTCCTTTCCATTAATGAAAAAATGACTGGGATTTTCAAGCTCTCCTGCTAAGCTGAAAATACAATAATATATAAAATTAAATCATCAGTACTTAAAAATTAAATAAACTAACTCGTCCTGTGAAATAAGTGTTTGTTCTGCAATATCTATTGCTGACTATGTGGAAGAGTAAGTATTAGTTTGTGTTGGAAATTATTGCTATAGATAACAGTAAATGTTGCTAAACATGTATGCTGGGTACTGCGTGCATAACTTTGGATTTGTCACGTGTTCCTTTAATGTGTATTTGAATTAGTTTTTCAGTTGAAGAATGCCCATGCTTTTAGAGCTTAAGGTATGCATTTGGTTATTGTGCATGAAGTTTATACTGCTGTAACAGTACTTTACTTTCTAGTATTTGCTTGGCTGTGGACTCTGCTCAGCTTTAACATGTTGAGGATCGGTGTAGCTGTTGCACCGGCTCTGGCTTGAATTAAGTTTGCAAAACAAAGTTTTGCATCTGATAACACTTAGAACTCTGTGTTTCATTATGAATGTTTATGTAGATATACATGACTTCTGTCTGTTTGATGGGCTCTCAGCATGTTCAAAAGAGCATGCAAGCACAGACTTTTTTGGGTTTTGACTTTTATATAATTTATATCCCTATTATATTAATAGCATAAAATATATTTCTGCCTGAAGCCACATGTATTAACTTCCTTTTCCTTTTTTAGTAGAGGTACCCTATTTCTACTCTGTTACTTAGAAAGCTGTGTGTACAGTCCTGTTCATTGTTTTCCTTGTATAGTCAATTTCCACTGATCCTTGTATGTCTGCACACAGCAATAGTGGATAAAGAAGTGGGGTTTTTTAGGTTGCATTCCAATATTTTTTTTCTAACTTTACAGACATGTCAAGGTGCATTTGCAGTTGTGTAGCTTGATTTTTTTTATTTTTTTTTTATTGTGTGCTACTATATTCTGTAAAAGCGGAGGAGGAAAATACAACAACTATTTTTGGTGTGCCCAGTGCATGCACTAAGTAGAACACTTGCCGTGTTGTTTATTGACTGTTAGTGTGCATTCTAATTTGTGTTTCCTGGCAGTGTTGTTTGTGTTGGTGGGGACGGCATGTTCAGTGAAGTGATGAATGGTCTCATTGGAAGAATGCAGAAGGACTCTGGCATAGATCAAAATAATCCCAAAGCACCATTAGTCCAGTGCAGTATAAGGATTGGCATAATAAAGAAAGGGTTAACTTTCAGTTTACTTTATTCGTTTATTATTGAAATTTCTTCTTATTCATAATGTCTTGAATTTAACAAGTGTAAGTTAAGCCTAAGTATAAGATAAGAGCAATGATATTCCATAAAGACATTTAGCTAAAGCTGTTTGTATCCTAGTATAACTATTGATCACATGCAAATTTGGGAAAGGTACTTTGTAAAAGAAATAACTTTAGAATTTAATTACTTTTTTGTGGCTTACTGTGTGTTATTACAAGATAAGTTTTTGACAGTAATACCTTTGCCCATCTGAACAAAATTAGTGAAATTTGCAGATCTACCTGATAAATATTTTTCCATTTCCAAATGCTCCATATGTTTAGCTAGAATTGTCATGAGAGCTTCCCAGTGATCTGACAAACTCCAAACAAATGCAAAAATTTCTCTCTCCAGTTGGTGTCATAGAAAGCATAAGGGAACTACAGCTGAGAATCAGACCTTGGGCTCCAGACCAGATTGCAATTTCTGTCCCCTTTTAGGACATCTGTCCCTATACCTTCACTGTTCTCAATCACAGCCACTTTTTCAGGCAACTCTGACTGCTGTCATGGAGAGGTATTTGAGAGAACTCATTCTAAGAATCCAGGTCTTTGATGATAAACTTACTTTTTATTGACCATAGGCACTCTTCGGATTAATCTTACTGTTAAATCTAGTGTCCTGGGTGTTACCTCACCCTACCCAGTTAATCCCCAAGATTCCTTCAAAAGTGGACACACAAGCTGACTCTCTTCCGGGACTGGATTCAGTGTTGCAACTCTTTAATAGCATCTGCAGTTTTGAGGACTCTGTGGAGAGGCAAATGGACAGTTCAGAGTCTTCTCTATGCTGTTCTCTTATTCCTGTCAGATACTTGAGATTTGAGTTAAAGAAGTGGGATATGAAGTAAACATTATGAGCTTCTAACTAGAACTAAAATGCAGACTTTATGAGAAAACTTAGCACAGGTTATAAAAATACATAATGCACCAAGTAAAATAGTATATTTGTACCCTCAGACTTTAGATGACTAATTCTGTACTCCATGTATGTTTGTGAAAAATGTGTCCCAATCCAAATGGTCTGAATAGTTGCTCAGAAGAAGCTTAACCCTTTCTGCTTGCAGTACAATAAGGGTTAGGTATCTAAAAGCTGCAATGTAAATATTCTCTTACAGTTTTTCATGTTCCTTGTTAGCTAGCACATTAAGGGTTTTATGTAACAGAATTACTGCATTTAAGTATATTCTGATTTTGTTAAAGTTTTGAATTAAAATCAGTTTGTATAATAAACTTTAGAGCATTTCAAATTCTATTTCTGCACTCTTTATTTCCCTTATTTGGGCAACTTTCTTGAACTAAAGGCTTTTGCTTGCATGGATGGTTTCAGAAGATTTTTGCCTACTGATCATGGGTAGTGATTGTCGGAAGACATAATTTAAGAAAATATTAAGAGCTGCTTCTTTGTTGACTATAAGCATGTTAAAATTGAAAATCTTGCTTTTTAAATTATTTCTTAATGCATTTTTTCCGATTGTAACCAAAACGTATGATCTTCACTGATATTTTAATATTGCTAACATGTATCAAGTCACTTCTCTATACTTGGTTTTTTGTTGTGTTTTGTCCATTGTAGCTGTTTGCTATTTGAATCTATACTGCATGCTCTTTTACTTGAACTAATGTGAGGAACAGCCTTGTAATCAGTGCTATGATTCAAATATTTTCTCCAAATCGTTATTTAAATCCCTCAAAAATTATTTACATTGTTGTATAAGGAAGCTAGCTGTGAAGTTCTGTTAAGTTTTTGGAAGTACAGAGGAGAATGTACATCTCGATTTGGTTGTGTGTTGTACAATATTTAAAATGATCCATTACTGAAAATATGGGAAAGCCCTTCTTCACTGAAAAAGGGAGTAAAATCTCTGAACAAATCTTACCCCTTTCTTAACACATCTAAGCCATCACAGGGACCTTAAACTGCGTATGAAATGGCCAAGCCCATGCATTCCAGGGTGGTCAGGAAGGCAGCAAGAGGTTCTTTCCCAGCCTTTGGTGAAGCTGTTCTCTGTTCATCTTTCTTTGATGTGAGGGAGCTCTGACCATGTGTCGACCTCAACAGAACCTCTGGTTCCCAGAGCAGCGCAGGAAGTCTGTTCCAAAATATGTGAGATCCTTAAAAAGACTTTTTTTAAAAAAAAAACAAAACTAAACTGACAGTCCTAAAATACAGCAAGTCAAAAGGAATAATGAAATATAAACAATGCATCTAGGAGAACTTAATCCATTATGATCTTTTTAGTTCTTTATAACCAACCTTTTTCTTAAAATCCTAAGTACTCATCAATAGATTTTGAAAAGAATCATTACCTATAGTTTAGAAATTAAGTTCTAAAGCTTTGAGTGTATTCTGATACATGAAGACAGTTAAGGGGTAAGGTGACACTGAATCAATGTTTCTGCCTTTTTTTATCATTTACTTCATAATGTCAGGCTGTGCTAATGGAAACATGACATGTTGTGATTAAACAGTGTCTGCATTCAAACTAATAATTCAGCAGACAATCTTTGCTCAGAAACTGTCAATTTAATTGTAAAAAGGTTTGAAACTGCAAACAAAAGGTCTAATGCTAAAACACTCATCTATGTGACTGCTTTTGAGTAATTAGCTTTATTTCATAGGCAGAATTCCATTGTATGAGCTCTTTTTTTGTTTTGGATGGTACTTGTAAATCATGATTCTAACTTTCTGGAGCAAATCCCTGCTTGGCCCCATTTTTTTGAACAGATGTGTCTGTTTCCAGACAGTCTTTTACCTTAGTGTGTCTTCTAGTTAAAAAATACCATTCTTCTGCTTCATTATACATTTTTATGAAATGACTTGGGTTTTTTATTGATATGAATAAAGGCTTCTGCTCAAATGGCAGTTTTAACTTCTGAATTTCTCTTAGTTACAGCCACCTTCAAATCTGCCAGTGTAAATTGGCTGGTGGCTGTTGTAAACAGATTTGCTGTTAAGAGTACTTAGAGGTTGGAGTAACCTGACAGAGTTTTGCACTGTAATGTGGTAACTACAAGTCAGTGCACCTATGAAAACTTATTTTTGTTTATTGCGTCCTCCTAGTGCCGTCAAGCCTTAAAAGCGTATTCAGCCATGGTTTCTCACTGCATTCAGAGTGGTAGTATGCCTGCATAGAACTTAAAAACACAGAATCATCTCTCTTATGAAATGTGGCACTGAGATTTCATCCACATATTATATTATTAAAATTATACCCTCTGGAGTAAGCCAAAATAATTTGTTGTTCATAGTAAACCTGGCATAGAGCAGGAGGGCTCTTCAGTAAAAGAGAGAATGGGTTAGGTTAAGTACTCTTATGATCTCAGCAGCTAGAAAAAAAATCCTACTTCATTCTGTGGTGTGGCATAATATTAATGCATTAATTCTTCCAAAAACTAAGTCTGCCAGCCTACCCTGAGAACAAGGGAAAAGTCTTCCAAGCACTAGGAAGGATGGAGTAATGTGTTAATTGCTATTGTGATTTAGGCTTCTCGTGTATCCAGGTCCATCTCACTTCTGTTATGGTCAAGGTATGAGCTCTGTAATGTCTAGGATTGAAGCATGCAGCATGATTATAATCAGCATGTTGATGTGTAGCTGTAGAAGTTAAAAAAGCTAAAGACAGCACAAGCTTCTTATGTGAAGGTAGTATATAAAAATGGTGGAGGGTTCATTCTCAAACTTAACCAAGTGCAAGTAAAATCATGAAGTGTGACTGGACTCTTACACTACTGTCATCTAGGCTGTAAAATTTGTCTTTGAAAATGTGTTAAAGCATAGCATAAAAAGCTATGTAATTATTTTTTAATATTACTCCGAGGGATGTGTCCACAGCCGTCTCTGTTACAACGTTTGTAATATTTAATGATCTTTGCAGCTTAGTTAGCATCTCATTTCAAGGTTCAGCACATCCAGTTTGATATCTGAAGTAACGTTTTGTGTTCTTCTTTCACTGTTTTGAATCTGTTATACTTCTGGAAATGACAGTCTTAGAGCCAAATACAGCATTTAATATGGTGGGACTGCTATGAAGACAACTAAATCAAGATTGCTTTTCTCTGGGATGTTAATTTCATCTCTTAAATTTGCCATTATTGTATTAATCTGTTTTTGTAGTACTATGCTACTGAACTTCTGAAGTTATTATCTACCAAAATAAACCCAGACCAAAGTTCTTCTGAACTCTTCTGTTTTAAGCTTCTACCATTCTGCAGATGTTAAACTCGATTTCTTGGTTTCTGGATACCAAAAGGAAGGTATATATGACTTTGGGAACAGCCCAGGCTGTTCATCCCTCTCTGTAACAGTAGCTTCTACTGTTACTTTTAAGCTTCTACCCTTACTTTTGAATGTGTCAGATCCTTGTCATTTGAAAATCACTGCCCAGAAAAGTCACCATCTGGTTCATGCTCTGAGGATTCTGTGTGTGCTGTAGGAGCACCTGCCCCTGTCAAGGGTATCTCGCATGGAGAAATGCTTGTGAGCACTATGAGTATTTCTTTATTAAATTCACTCTTTTCTATAGGTTTGACATCTAGCTGACTGTTGCTTCTGTCATCTGCTTAATTTAATACTTCCAGTTCTTTGGAATTTGTTTAGTTTTCTATCAATAAAAGTACGGAAATGAACATTTACAGCCCACAGCATGTGTGTGTTCTAGTTTAAGAAAACTTAGTTGTAAGTTAGTCTAATCATTTTTCAGATTATTAATTCTAGCACTTGGATATTTTGTTTTGTTCTGGCTTTTTTGTTGGTCCACAGAATCCGTGGCAGACACTCTTCCATACAACCAGTATGGAAGCTCATTGCTTTGGTGGCTCTATGACCAATTCAAAGCTTGTGAGATGGTATCTGAGCACCTCTCTGCATGACGTGTTTACTCAAAAATATCCAGCAATATTGGCATGTAGAGGGGAAGTCTGGTGATTTAGCTGTACTGTATTCTATGTAGTGCACTCCATCTCTTTGGTTTCTTTTATCTTGCTTTAGCAAAAGTGTTTTATGGGGGAGTATGTACTCGTTAATATTTTAAATACATATCTTGATCATTTCTCCTAGTGATTAATTAAAAGGAGGGATTTCTTTGATAATTTTTACATAATTAAATTTATTTATTTAAAAATTTAGTGTTTAAATTTGGGGATGGAAAGAACATAGAAGAACTTGTCTATATAGCAGCTATGTGGTGGGAGTTGCATGTGCATCTACTCAGAGTGCTGTTTCAGCAGCAGTAGATTCCAAATCTGTTCAAGACCTGCATGGTCTAGAATTCCTGTTTGGTTAGGAAGTGTTCAAAGAGATTCAAATCCTTAGTTGTCATGAACATTTCTGTGACCAGTTGTTTTCTCTTGGGATGTATGTAAGGAATGGTAACAGTTTTGTTGCTCCATACTACTGGCTTTGAGAGAGGGGGGAAAAAACCAACTGGCATGGTTGAGAACAAGGGATGATTTGACAGTTGCTATACACTGTTGGTGTCTTCCCCAGCCTCCCATTTTAGAATTTCAGAATTAATTTCAGACTTCAAATGTAATTTTAGCCCTCCCTTGCCAGTTAACAAATAGAAATGAGAATAAGCTCTATAAATCTGCCCAACAGATAAATCAGCTTTTAATTGACTACAGAAGGGTATAGGGAGCTAAGTCTCTGGTGTTAAAAATATAGCTTGCATAAATTCCCCTCTTCTTCTCCCACCCATAGCGTAAGATTACTTGGAAGCTCTGTTTACATGAAGACAAATGTGACTAAGGTAATTCTAGCAGGAGAATGCAGACAGATAATGAAGAAATGAGAGAGGCTGGATGAAACATTAGGCCTGTACATTCAGCAGTAAAAGTTCAGGTCAGATCTTTTAGTGGGTATTTTTAGTGGCTGGCTGGTTTTTGTCTTTTTCTTTGCAGAAGTAGTGAGAATTTTGTGCTGAACTGAAATTCATGAGTATAGGAGGCAAAGCAAAACTGAAAAAACTGACAGTAAAGCATAGCTTTAAGAATCTGAACTCTATGTAATACTTGCTGCTATGAAACTTCAAATGCAGTGTGATAATATCATGTGTACCTTGTCTGTTATGCTAATGAGAGAAACTGGAGTCCTGTTTCCTATGTAATGGAATATACTTCATATACTTCTAATGGTACACTTGCACCACTTGTAGAGAGAGGTCTCTTTAGTCACGCTGTTTCTTTTGTTCTGCGGTTCTGTTGTGTTTATATTCTCTTTAACTGGCTCTTGGAGCTGCTGCTTCTTCACTGTGGTAGGCTTCTGCTTAGCATTTACTTGGTAGAAGCTTCTCAGGTCCTTCACTAGCAGGGGAAGTGGTGTCCATTTCCTCAGAAGTGAGTTGCAGTGGAAAGGATTTTCTTTACTTTTTCTGGTAACTGTATATGCCCTGACTGTTTTTGAAGTGAGAAAGAACCAAAAGTGGATTTTAGATCCTGGTTGCTCACTCCTCCATTTTCAGTTTTCTATTTCAATTTGATTAGGCCTCAGAAATTAAGTCCTCTACCTGAGCTGCTCTACATCTAGTGTATCAGTAGCAAATCTGAGAATATATATGTAGGCAAAGGAAGTTTTTGTTTTCAGATATCCAGCCTTGACTTTAAAGGAATTCAATTTCAGGGAAGGAATGGTAGAAATTACGAGAGAAATTTAAAGTTAGATCCTGCAATAAAAATGTTTTGGTATGTTTGGCTCTGACTTTCAAGTTATTGCTGCAGAGTACGATTCAGAACTCTACATTAGGCTTGTGGATTGTATTTTACAATCAGAGAGAATTGCCTCTCTCTAAACAGCACCCAAAATACTCAGTGGACATACTGAAGGAAGAGTGGTCTGAAGGGAATTGGTAACAATGACAGAATATAGGTGAAACCTAAAGCTTTCCCCCTTTCTTCTTAGAGGTATTTTGCTCAACTCTGTAAAGGCACATCTCTATTCACTTTGTTCCCCTATATATAAACTAAGTATTTACTACTTTTCAAATGATAGAACTAAGCAGGAGTTTCTGGTTTAAGATACTGCTGGAGGAGAGGATGTTGACAGTCTTTACTTTAGATCACTCCCCCCAAAACCCAGGAGTCTGATCAACTTCTTTTCATGAGATCTCAATTAGTAAGACATCTTAAGCAAAGGAGAATCAGCATATGACTTCCTTCTCTTCTGTCCTTAGTTGATGTAAAAGCTGTAATGTAATCCTGAATTTTTTTTCCTGTGAATTAACCTGTTTCCCTTCACTTACTGTTATGTATTTATTTATCCTGTAGTGAAAGTCTTTGCACTTTGTATGGAGAGAAACAATTTCTACTCATTGAGGAGGCAAAAAAGAAGTTACAATTTAATCATAATATTTATATACTTATTTTGTTCCATAAAATAGAAAGGGACAAGCCAGGGGAACATAATACTTTTATTTGGAGGATCATGCCAGTAATACTTTGTTTTGAAAAGATATGAATTGATAGCTAATATCTTTTTTATTTTTCAGGATCAACAGATTGCATATGCTATTCAACTGTTGGCATTTCTGATCCAGTAACATCAGCTCTCCATATTATTGTAGGTGGGTTGTCACAGTGCACCCTTTTGTTATAAAAATTATTAACATAACCAAAAATAGTAATTCCATTTAGTTCTTTCTATATGTTTGTAAAATATCATGTTAACATAATAGCTGAGTTGAAATACTAAGTTTTTGTCTGGGATTTAAGTGTCTGATTTGAAATTCAGAAGGTTAAAAGTTAATTGTTTTCTCTGCTGTCTTTTGTTGTTTTCAAGGGTTCATGATGTTTTGAAATTTTGTATCTGGTGCATAAGTTTTCATGCTTTCTGGCACGCTTTTGAAAATAGCAGTAAAATACAAAAAGCAGTGTAAGTTGTTGGACTGTATTTCTGTCTTAGAGAAAGCTGTGACAAGTGCACGTACATTTGAAGGGTAATATCTTGTACTGGTTGCTCAATTGTCCCGTGCATTTCAGTGCTTCCATGCCAAGTTAGAAGTGTGGCTTCTGCTTGACTGGAATTAGCTGATAATTCCCTATTTTTGCCATCTCTAAGCCATACATTTATGGAGTAAGGAGGGAGGCAAACACCTGCTCTTCAATAAATGCTTTTTGATATGTTGTCATCAGTAGGGAAACTGACATTGCCACTTCTCGAAGTCCTTTAGTAATGGACTCTCTGAACTGCACACGGGCTGAGGGAGACAGCTTGGCATAGTCAGTGCATTGGGATTTGTCGTGTCCATCCTATCTGCCACATATTGAAGAATCATACTCACCCAGTTCTTAATAATGAATTTGAAAAATTATGCAAGATCATCTTCAGTTATAATAATGTTGCATGAGTGTAAAAGATACAATTTTGAAGAGACAGTCACTTGTTACTGAGTGCTTAACATTTGTAGTTTTAGGAGCTGATGTTGCAAAGCTTTACACATATGCTTCTCTGTTACTAATCTATGGTTAAATCTGTTCAGCGTATGTAGAGTTTAGGCCATTGGACAAGGATTAAAGCAAGAGAGGGACTTAGTATACCATAGTATTTTAGCTGGATTATTAAATGTGCATATGCACATGTGTACTTAGATTTTTTTTTTAAGAGCGTATCTCATTCACGTAAAGAGTTCTTCACAGCAGTCAGTGGTGAAAGGATAAGAGACTGGGCATAAATTGAAACAGAAGAAACAAGAGAAGAGCCCAAACCAAACAAAGTCAAACAAGCGAAGAAACACCATGTCTACTCTAAACCCTGCAAAACCCACCACCACTCCAAAGCTTACATGATGAGGAGCTTACATCAGAGAGGGGTGGTGTACTCTCCCTCTTCCTAGGGTTTTTCAGGACTTGACTGGATAAGCCCTGAGTAACCTCATCTGACCTCATAGCTGAGCCTACTTTGAGTGGGAGGTTTGATAAGAAACTTCCTGAGGCCCCTTCCAGCTTGAATTGTGCTATGATAGCGTGACATAATAAAGGATTAAGTAGTATTCAATAGATGTACAGATCCTGCGTTGATCCCTTCTATAACATCCCATCCTACTGCCACATGGTAAATCAGTGTAAATTCCTCATTATATATTTTTAGCATACTGACTGTTCTTCTCATTTAGTGCTTAATATTTTTTAAATATTAAATGAAATTAGTATTAAAAATTATTTTTCCCTTGTTGCATGTATAAGAGACATCTATGTGAATATATGACATAAATGTTACGACATAAATACAACATATATATTTTTTAAAAAATCTGTAACGTTAAATTCTCTACCATGAGGTACCATGTTTGCAGCTGCATACAAAATAAACCGTAATAGAACCTTGCACTTCTAATCTTCATAGGTGACTGTCAGCCTCTGGATGTCTGTGCTGTACATCATAACAACATGCTTTTGAAGTACTCTGTATCGTTGCTGGGTTACGGTTTTTATGGAGATATATTAAAAGATAGTGAAAAGAAGCGGTGGATGGGTCCGATGAGATACGAGTACTCAGGTAACTTGCATAATTATTACATTCTTTTGTCAGCATGTGAACATAATGGAGCAGTTGAAGTGCTTTTTCCAACCCAAGCTTCTCTGAAGCTTTTAAACATAAGAGGCAGACTGAACCTCATTTTTAAACTTTTTGAGGTACCAAATACATTGGATCACATATAAAGCTCTGTAACCTGGGGGATAACATTAGCAGTGTGCTCACTAAAGTTGTGATGAATGTGACTATATAGCACAGTTAATAAATTAAATTATAGTTAATATTTTAAGTATTTTATGAGCTTTATAAAGAAGTAAAATTTTATTTTGAACTGTTATAAATTATGTTGGAAGCAACCCTAATTCAAATTTGTTTGAGAAGCTTTTTTATTAATGAAATTGCTAGTGCTGTTCTGTGTTAACAGAAATGTTACTAAATGTCACCTACTGATAGCTGCCTAAAAGATAATATCTTTCCTGTGCTAATCACTTTTTAACTTTCTTTCCTATCAGTTAGAGAGAGAGACACTCCTGTCATGGACATTCAGCTAATTTTATGCTTCCAGCACTGATTAGAGAGAAAGCTGAGTGGTTTAGCCTACTTAGCTAATATTTAGACAAATCCTATGCTACTGGAAGGTATTTTTTGCTTCCATTGATTTGTTTTCTGTTACGCAAAGAAGATACAAAAATTTAAGTAGTGTAGTCTAATGTCAAGATTCAGCTGTACAGCTAAGTTTTTACTTGGCTCTTAAAGATATCAAGCAAAGTAAGGACACTCTTGCCAAATGTTTAAAAGTTGGGGGTATTATTTCCATGTCCTTTACAGTCTAAAACTTCATAGCACAAAGAGCTGTGAGCTTGGGGAGAGCAACTGTTGTTTTGCAGTCATTGGAGAAGGAAAGAGGGGAACAATTAAGGGACATATGCAGAGATGTTCGCAATGTGGATTTATAATGACTTGATGCTGCTTGATACCTTTTTTATGTAGGCGTCAAGACTTTTCTTTCTCATCAGTACTATGAAGGAACAATTTCTTTTCAACCAGCAAAGCACGCACTGGGATCTCCACGAGATAAAGATAGCTGCAGAACAGGGTAGGCTAATGTTTATCTCTAGATATTTGACATGAACTATTTGAAAAGGCCTGTCCATATATAGAAATCACAGAAATGTTTTTAACTCAAAACACTTACTCTGAAAGAGGTAAGCTTTTAAAAAAGTTTGGCTCATTAAAGAGAACACCTCATTTTATCAGGTCAGTAAACAAAAGCATAATAAAAATTTTAGCTGGTGTCCCCCCTGCCCCAGTTTTAAATGAAACAAAGTATAACAGCACAGTACTCGGTTTCAAGGTGCTAAGGGTACTGTGCTGTGTTACTGTTAATAAATGAGAAGTTTGGATGCCTCATAGCTTCTCCCATGCAACAGTACTGACTGGGCGGAGGGCAGCTGTGTCAAAAAGAACTGCAGGATCCTGGTGGACAATGGCTGTACCTGAGTCAGCAGTGTGTCCTTGCAGCAAGGAAGGCCCAACTGTATATTGGGCTTTCTAAGCAAAAGAGAAGCCAACAGGTCAAGAGAAGTGATTCTTCCCCTGCACTCAGCAATTGAGATGGACTGGCTGCAGTATGTCAATGTCTTCCACTGTTACAGCAGTGAAATACTGGAATGGGTTGCCCAGAGGTCTTGTGGACTACCCTTGCAGATATTTGGAACTTGATTGAACAAGACATTGAACATCCTGATCCTGTAAGACCTGCTTTGAGCAGAGGATTGGACCACATCAGAGATGACTTCCAACAAATGTGATCTTATGGCTCTGTGGTACTGTTATTTCTGACATCGAGTAACCTTCAGCACTGAACTTAAGTGCCTGTACTGCCTGCAGGGCTGTTGTGATCCATGCCACGTCAGGGTTGTCAGTGCCATGCTGCATTGTGCGGTGGAGGAAGGTCTTGCAGTGATTTGGTATAACAAAAAAGTTGAACTGAAGGATAGTTTTGTTTTCAGGAGCTGAGTGGTATTTTTGCTTTCAGATGTTATATTTGCAAGAAAAGTGAGCAACAGCTGGCAGAACACCACAAGGAACGTGGATTAAAACATGAAGGTAATTTGTAATAGAAAGTAAGATGGTGTAGTATTATACAAATTATTATTTTCAGAATGTATCAGTTTAAGTGTGTGTTGGGTTTTTTTTAAACATTGTGAGTTACTAGATAATTCATTGTTTCTTTAGGTTTAAGGAAAATACATGTAAATATGTGAAAAATATATAAAGTGTCTGTGGGTTTTTTTTTGTGAGAAAGACCTAACTGATATACTGTGAGGTAGTGTAGAAGGTAGTAGATAATTAGGATAATTTTTAGAGTAGACCAGTATTAAAAAATTGTGTTCATTAGCACAAAATTCACCCTATGTAAAGCTGTTTATTAAATAAGTATGAGGCAGTGAACTTGGACAACTTATAACTCATCTAATGGACTTAAGTATTTCTGTACAATACCCTACCAATACTCAGTATATATGATAAATGAGATTTTTTTTTATTCTCTTCTTTCTCCCAGTATGCTATTTTTATTCTCTTTTCCCGCTACCCCCTTTCCAATCCTTATAGTTGTATCTCTTTATATGTGACTACTACATGCTAGTGGGAAGCACTGATACTGACACAGTTGTGGCCTTGCTGGAGTAAGAGATGCAGATTCAGTTGGCCAAGTTTCACCTCTGGTCTCAGTTCATAGTCTTGGATAAACCCTCTTAAAACAGCAGGCAGCCTTCCTGTGGGTGCTTATCTCTGCTTCTGCTTTTATTCACAGGATCACAGAACGTTAGGGATTGGA